CAGCTCCGGGCAGGGGAGCGGCGAATTCCCCAAGGAGGGGAAGCACCCGCGGCCGGGAGTCGCGCCCGCCGACCGGGAAATGGGCTTCCTTCCCTGACCAGCGGTCGAGAGTAAGTCTGAGTCGGGCCTTGCCCTGTGCCCGGTCTCAGGCAAGCCGCCAACTCTGTCCCGCTTGGGGATCGTCACCTTGCCCTTCAGGTTGCTGTCCAGGGCTACGAGGGCCCCTGTTCGGGCCTGTGGATGAATCCTCTGAGCTGTGAAACCCTCCAAACTGCTTCAAGCTACGGGAGAGTCAGGAGGTGGGGGTGGCAGGAGGAGGCCAAGAGGGGCTCAGTGCTCGGGCATCAGGTCCAGGAGTCCGGCAGTCCGCCCTCCCTGCCCCGTGGCCCTCTGGCCACACTTCGAAGCCTGCAGGATGAGAGGGGTCCCTGAAGGGGCGCAAGTGGGCTGTTAAGCCGGGTGATCGACTGGAAATTAAGACCTTTCAGGCTCTCTTGCTCCCCTCCCCAGCGCCCAGCCTCTCCCTAGCCTGTGACCCACCACTTCCTTAGACCCAGGAATAGAAGCCCCTCTGCGAAACAGAGAGAAAAACGTCTTGTTGGGGGATGTTTTGACTATCCCAAAGTTCTTTGATTTGACTGCTTTCCTATGCATTGTTATTTTTACAATTTGACCTCACAGCCGTTGTTTATTTGGTGATACCTATTTGTTTGTAATTTTACATTAGACTGTGAATTCCATCTGTTACGTTTTACGGTTTGCAAGAAAGGGTTGGCAGGTGAGCACGGTGAATATTTATGCACTCGTTTCAATTTATATCAGCCCAAGGCGGTGAAATAACTGCAATGAAATAATAGTGCGGGAATTCAAAGGCGTGAGGTTCAGAGCGATGGAAGGGGCACAAGTTTAGAAACTCTGTTGGCTGAGGACGATGGGAGTTGCCCCGCAATGTATCTGGAGAGCCCCCTCCAACTGGAGAAGGTGGGCTTAGCTGCAGGTGAAGCCTTGGGAGAAATATGGAGAATCTGGAGCAGTGCCCTTGTGCTGGTGTTGGGTAGAAGGTCTTTCTTGGTGATTTGCTCTTCTGGTGCAAAGGGAGCCCAGGTGGCTTTTGTTGTTGCGGGGGGGGGGGTTTGCGATGCCAACACGGGGTAGAACTTCATCTCAGTGAACAGGAAAAAAGTCCTTCAGTTCCATGGCTTGTGCTTCAAATGGGGTGCCGCGTCGGTTTTTGAAATCTGGGCCTGGCCTGGCCGGAGCAGGAAGCCCATTCTCTCGGGACTCCAAGGAGGACGTTTGGGGTCTCTTACTGGGGCTGCTTCCTGATTCGGTGTGCTGAGGCTTGGCTCAGTCCGTTGATCTGTGAGCTCCTTCTGAAATTCAGGTCTGTTTAGCTGCTTTCCAGCCCTGGAGGGAGGCACCCATGCGTAGATGGAGTGCGGGGCTGTTTTGCTTCCTGTCCCAAAGCCGGCAGCCTTGGCCCCTGGCTCCAAGACAGAGAAGCGGGCAGCGTGGAGACGAGTCCTGCGCTCTGGACACTGCGGACTCTCTGGCAGGGCGGAGACCCCAGCACTGCCAGCCACAGGAACCGCATCAGAGGAGGCAAATTGTGCCCTGCAGCCAAGCTCAGAGAGAGGCTGTTTCTCTCTGGCCCAGCTTGGTTGCTCCCAGCGCACCTCTGGGGTTGCAGGCCTGAGCTGGGGTGGGGCACCTGCCCCTCTGTCCAGGGAGGCAGGGATTCCAAACTGGACCCCCCCCCCCTTTGCTTTGTGGGCTGCAAAAGCTCTGATAAGAAAGCGGCTCCTATTTTGGGGGGAGGCAGCCACCCATCCCCTCTGAGTGAGGCCTCTCTCCCATCTAGCAATTTGGCTGGCACAAGAAAACTTCTTGTGGTGATCCTGCGAATGGAAGCTTTGAAAAGCTTTGGTGGGGCGGCTAAATCTGTTTCCCAAAATAGGGCTGGGGGGAGGGGAGGGACTTGCAGAAAAACGAAGCCTCTCTTGCACATGGTTGCTTTTGGGGGAAGCCATGAAGGCTTGGGATGAGCTCTGCAGGACATCTATTCCACAGGAGCAAACCAGATTCCTTTAAAAAGCCCTCAGACAGGACACGAGAAAATTCCTCCTCCCTGTTGTTGCTCCTTGGTGGCTGGAATTCAACATGGGACACGGAGGCTTCATTTCTCCAGGGCCGCTTCTCTTCCATGAATAGATCCCATCTTTTTTCCCAACAATTGCCACACCTTGTGGTGGGGAGTCCCACCATTTAATTATCTTGTCAGCAAATGAGCTGCTGGGTGAAGCAGCCCGGCTAGAGAGCAGAGCGGAGGGCTGCCGGAGGAGGCCACCCATCTCTCCTCTTGGCCGAACTACTGATTTGGAGTCCTTTTGACCCTGGAGGAGGAGGCCCCCCTGCTCCCGCCCTGCAGATTCCTGCTCTGGGTCTTTGAACAGCTCGCCCGGTTGGAGAGCTG